GAAATCTTGCTCAGGTTTCTAACGAGTTCAGAATCTAAATAATCACACATGGATATCTAAAATAGTACAGCCTCTCAGGTTCGTGCCACGCATTTCGAGAGTTCACATTCAAACAATATACTCCCCAGTGTTTACCAGCTGTATCTGGTTGGTTAACCATGCGATTTCACTGACTCAACTGCAAACCATGGAAACCAACTTCATGAAGTCATTAAAAGTCATGCAATCCTTAAAATATTCTTCGTGCCGACAAACTTCTAATGATTAATTATCATTAAGATATGCCTTATAGTTCGTAGGGAGCTTCGCTTTTCTAAACGAAGATTTTCCTCGTCTTAGCTCTTGGGAACTCTCATCATCTCAAGTTTGAGACTCGATTATTCGATTACATGCGAGGTCCTCCTGATGAAACAGCTAAAAGCGAATCGCTTGAACGATAACATCACCTATGATTCATCGTCTAAAGCAGTTCTGTAATTAAACGACTGACGTCCTGTTAAACTGACTCGGTAATTACATGAATTTTAAGCTTGAGTTGTTAGTTGCATGAGATGAATGTGATATTTCTCGTTTAATGTCAACTTAATCGCCATTGAAATTGTTCCTCATCAAATTCCTTTAGTATTATTACCAATAATCCGACTGATTCCGCGCTGAATTGTTTATGTGGTATTAAAAACGAAGCCATTCCATGGAGTGATTCCGCATCGACGACTCTCAGTGTGGTTTTAGAAAGACCACACTGAGGAATCATTTATACCATTTTAATATCATCATTCAAGGAGACGACGATTTGTGATTCCTACAGAGAATTTATGATCGCATTCGCACAAAGTGGCACTTTTAAAGGATGAAATGGAATCAGGAAAATGGATGATTCTATTGGATGCATTTATTACCCGCTATTATAGTTACGTCAATAAAGTCCATGATTTGATTGCGATTACCGACAGCATTTAACAGCTATAATTATGCACATCATCAAATAGTTGACGCAGGACGCTTCATAATGACATAAATTACAATCTTGATTTACACATTGACATTGTGCACTTGACATTCTCCGAGTTGAATTACAATCTTATCGTTTTCAGCTCAATCATTCACAATTGACATTTTGTTTGATTGCACACAGCACTATTCTTACTATCGAATTTCATTTTTAGTTAGAAAGTAGAAATTGATATAATGAGCAGTACATTTTAATTACTCAGCTGCTAGCAAAAGCTGTCGTCAGCATCAGTCGCATGCTCGACACGTCTATTCTATGTATCTCTTAAAAGAGAGTTCATCTGAATCAGATTTGACGCTGAAGGTCTGCAAACATGGTTTGGTGGAAGTTATCGCCCGAATTATTACCGTTGACATTAGGTAGGCTGTGATATTTTGGCACTAAAATATGAACCAGTTGATGTAATCTTGAACGGATTGTGATACGGTTGACCAACTGGAGCTTAGATAACCTTGTCACCATTTGGAGAATAGAAGCTGAAGGCCGTGGCTCGTGGAGGAAAGTAAAAACATAGATGAATGCAAAAAAATAACGGCTGAGATTTTTATCACAATTTAGATCAGTATCCCACAAGGGCAGTTGCAATTCCTTCCCTCCAATAATCCAATTCAAGTGGTTGTGATCTCTTCGTCGCTCTAACAATTTGTCACATTTTATTTGCCAGCCATTTGATTTCACCGTCCCAGACCCTTAAATTCTCTTCCAAGAGCAATACCCTCCCATGGGAATTGCCGGTGCAGATGATCAGTCGTGCACCAGTAATATACAAGTGTCAGCATGCAAAAGCAATAGGTACGGTCTGAATTACAATTAAAATTCCATTATAAAGATTTTGAGTAGATCTGAAAGGCAGTTATTGCTAGATTCTTTGATAATATGGCCATTGCTAATTGAATGCGATTTGTTTCGATTTTCATCAGTCGCAGAACTCTGCCTTCAAGGAGCAGTTTTCTTTAACTGTCACATCGTTTAGCTTCAAAGTCAGAATATTGCCTTAGTTATGCTCTCCACTGAATCCACTCTTGCGCTTCGGCAAAAAAAATTAATATCCCAAAAAGTACTCACGGCGAACAACCTTCACGCTTCACTAAAACTGATGATTCACTGGAAATTCACCTGTCAAACCCGTTTGAACTCTTAGGATATCATATGGTCTTCCTTGTAGTTTTAGGGTTACAGTCTAGCTCTTGCGATTTTGTGTTTATTTTGTTTGATCATTAGATCGTAATCAGTTCGGGGCAAATTACTTGAATACGAAAAGTTTTAGTTAATTAGCGTCTGAATCATTTCCGATGATAACAGATAATCAGATAATAGATACAAGCCGGATCATAGCCAGGCGCAGGCTCGCAACATCAATGATATTGTTGCACCACTCAGTTTCGAGCGAAACTTTCCTCCGCAAACGGCAATCGAACCAGCGACGTACCAATTACCGGTTGGGGCTCTACCTCTGAATACAACCACTCGGTGGAGGCTGAACGGTCTCTGCAGTAGCTCAGTGGTAGAGCCCCAACTGGTAATTGCTACGTTGCGGGTTTGATTTTTCCCGTTCGTGGAGGACAGTTTTGCTCGAAACCGAGTGATGTACCAGTATAATTTCTGATGCTTCATGGCATTTAATGCAATCATGTCAATTTGCGCGAACGGTAGAAATTTCTACATTCTATGTCTGAATATACCTATTCATACACAAAATGCACCTGAATGCGTCAAACCAACTCGCGCATCTAATTCGACTAAATGCCACTTCACTTATCACGAGTCATTGCATCTCATGATGAGCTGAACACTTTTTTGGTATTCGGCTTAATTTCGTATCACCATTATTACCGCACTGTGAGCCGTTGAATTGGATGCAGCATCATAAATATTTTTCGTTTGTATTTTTTGCTGCATTTCGATGAAAAAATGATCACTGAAAAGCTCGATTAAAGGCTGACGAAGAGAGCACTTTAGACAACGGATTCAATCGTGCGTCGGTGCATTACCTCTCGGTATCGTTCATCTAAAATACAATCAAACGCTATTCATCCTTACAATTAGTTAGTTGAGGCATGCGAAGTCTGTTGTGTTCAAATGTTGGTTTCTCGATTCGCATCATCGGTTCACGATGTTGAGTTGTTGAAACGTAGAAAGAAACGTANAAATAAAACGTAGAGTTGAAGTTCGAATCGTTACATATTTGCTTCAACTATCAACTATCATGAAAGTGCATTCTCAAGTATCAGTTAGTTTCTTCTGTTCTCTTGCTCGCTATGCATGTGCATGTTTCGAAGGGCGTGGCGCAAAAGCGTAGTTGAAATTTCTAAAAATTAACGTATTTCCAGGTGTTCAAAGCAAACATAGAAGCGCGAGTAAGAAAGCAGTATTTTAAGATATAAGTGGTATTTCACCATTCAGCGATATTTTTGCAATCAGTTCACTGGTAAAATTGTGCGTCAAAATGCTCGTCTTTCCCGGGTGAGTTCGAATTACAAAGTAATGTGTCGGTACAAATCGGAAAGTTTTCCGCTCACCTGAGATAAATAATTGTCAAACAGTGATCTGAGAACAACTGAAATTTGTTGTGTCTATTTGTCGATCGTGATGAGTGTTGACGAACAACAAGTGTCACTTATGAAAATAGCTTATTGTTTCGTTAAATGCTGCGATATTGCAATGATCACCATGATTATGGTAACGCAAAATCGAATTGCTCGAAGAAAATGAACTTCGGCATGATCACAATTTTGCTCTCATCATCTCTGCGCTATAACGGTAGTAGATTCGTTTCCATCGGAGGATCGATTACTGAGTATCTCAGAAAACTTACATCAGTCTTCATGTACTTCATGAAAGATTCTTTACACTGGCTTTGTCATTGTCCATTGCATTAAATCATCTCGTAGCAATTGTGCAGTATTTTCTAGGTTGGATCAACAAAATTTAGCGCATATCAAAGAGATATGTGCAGTCATGGCGACAGAACTCGGTGAACCGGATGTGGCGATCGGGATTACATACATATCGATTGGACTCCTTTATGTGGTGAGCGGATGATTCCTCAATAGTGACAGTAACAGTAACAGTGTCTATTCTCAATAATAACAGATCCTCTCGAGGCCACCTCTAATGCGTTGAAGTTCCACTATGATCGGAATTTGCTCTCCTCTAGAGAGCGTTAATCTATAGAAATTTCGATAAACATTTGTATATGACAAAAAATTGAGTCTCGAAACAGTCCTTTTCCGTGGTTCATGGTCGATGAAATGTCACAAAACACATAGCGATTTCGCATGTTAGCGCACG